TGATACTCCGCCGTCGCCACGCGCGGCCTGCCGCAGGAGTGCGCGCAATTCAATGCGCTGTGCACACGATCAGTGGTGTCACGCACCGGAGCCGGCACCTACCTCGCACTGGGCCGCGGCTGCGTGCGACTCGCCGCCGCTGGTATGCGCTTTCCAGAGGAGTGCCGTCATAGCCTTAGTAGACATATGGACGCTGACGCGCGCGCCTTCCCTGCGCAGTCGCCATCTGACACTGCGCTGGAGCCGCTTGATAGCGCCTCTAACTGGCGTTTGTCACTGTGGTATAGCTATGGAGAAGGAGAGTGCAAATGCTGCTCAACGGTGCAGTAGAGCGGAGAAGCTTAACTGATCGGATCCCGAAGAAGTTGCCCGGCAAAATAAATATACATGTGCCACATAATACGTATACCGTGTGTGCGGCATTGGAACAGCTGTAAGCATGATATCTGGAAAGCTAAGAATTATCAGCTGAACCTTTGCTAACGCTACGTATGTCCTGGCATAGCCGGGCTAAGCCACTGCCATTTTTTGGTGCTGTATATATATATATATATATATATATATATATATATATATATATATATATATATAGCGGTCGTAACAGGGCTTGAGGCGACTGACGTGGACCGTCTCACGACAAAGGCGGCGCTTGTCCGTGGACGGCTTGAGTGGTTCAATCACATAGGTGACCGAAGAAGGGTGCTGTATGACGCAGTAAGGGCCCGTATACTTCGGTGCAAACTTGGGAGTCAGTCCAGGAGAGTGGAAAGGCAGTCGGAGCCACACGAGAGAACCGACGGGAAAGGTATTCTGAAGAAGATCATGGTCGTGGCGATCTTTTTGGAGGGCTTCGTTATCGGCTGTGAAGGACCGTGCAAGTTAACGACACTCTTCGGCATGTTCGGCCATTTCAGAAACTGGGCTGAACTTGAAGGCATTATGATTGTATGGTAGAATTGTGTCGAGTGTGTTGCATGGGTCACGACCATATAAAAGAAAAAAATGGAGAAAAGCCTGTTGTTGATTGAATCGCCGTATTGTACACTCTTAAAAAATGGAGTGACGTACTCTCCATTTAGGTAGAAACGGCGATGTCCGCAATGTTCGTCTTCAGATGGAGCAAAATTGCTCTATCCGCCACGGAGAAACGTGTTTCTCCATCGTCAAAATCAACATGGCGGACGCCAAGCCAGTGAAGCGAGCGCTAGATTTAGGCCTATCAACGACATCGAATCTCGACAAATAAACAGCATGCGCGACTGGGCAACGTAAAAACGATACCGTTCAGCATTATATGAAATTATATCGAAAATAAGACGAAGCGGCCAGACCCGTGGTGACAAGAACCACGCGTAACAACAACGCTGATCGCGCATTTCACTCGCCCGTGCATTTACACGGCATGCAGTCACAAGAATACCGGAAATACTGCAAAATGATTGTCACACAACAAGTAAACGTAAGGCTGTCTTTATTTCTCAAAGCATCAGCCAGTGTAGCGGCGTTGTGCGCGTGTTTACGAGGGCAATTGGCGATGACTTTTGTCGACAACGAGCTGTCGAGAAGAACGGTCCCACTTTCGTGTTTCAGCTCACCTTCATTCATGCGGCTCATAATCCTTCGCAAATTTGCACTTCACATACACACGGTCGCACAGGGCATCATCGCTGCTTTCGCAGACACAATTTTCTCTAAACGTGTACGCTCCATGTGAACAACTTATTGCGCAGCAGAAATGCACCAGCACACGCATGGGTGACTACATAGATAAATGTACGTCGTTATGTATACGATGTGGATCTCCGATAGCACTATACCCTTGAAGTAGAAAGTAGCTAGCGCCACCTGGAGAAAAGTTACATTACTGAAAGGAGTAATTCACTAGATGGATGTTTCACAGTATAACATCACCACCACAGCCATGAAGTAAAATAGTAACTCGCGCCACCTAGAGGAAAATATTGATACTAAAAAAAATTCACGATGCAAACAAAGGAATAAGGTTACAGAGAATGATTATTTATCAAAGATTACATGCAATAGAGTTGGGTGTTATTTTGCGTCTTACAATGTAGACAGCAGTTTACTCAACCTGTTGTATATATGTACCACACACAATCAACCACACTTAGTGATAGTTTCATACATGTGAATACACAAAATTCAACACTTAATCGAAGTTGCATACACGTTAATACATATTAGTTAAACACGATATTACAACACAGCACGCGTATACAACATAAGTACATCGAACAGCCAAGCACATTCACCAACGCGCTATATAAGTACTCGAAGCGTTCCGGTTTATATAGGCAGGAATTACGACTGCCATAAAGGAGCCGGTGGGGCGCATGTTTTGTGTCTATTATTCTTGTTTAATGAATATGTTAAGGGCAAGTTGATATCACTTCTGCCATTATTCTGCAAGTGGCACATACTTTTTAATTAAAAAGTGATTTTTACTACACGGTGTAATTGCGGAGCTGTTACATCATGTTCACGCAACCGATGGGTGAGCGCTTTATTTGAGGATAAACTATCAAGTGGATCGAGTTAATGTGCGTACTTTGAAATATGCACAGAACTAACGACATGAGCACACATAAAAGCGTTACCCTAAAAGCATGCGTACATTCATGGTTTTATTTGGCCGCAATGCGTCAGGTCGTTATCGTGAGTGAAAATGACTCACTCCCACGTACCTCGCGTGAATCCAAGCTGCAAATAGTCGCCCGCAACTCGCTACGTCGAGTGTTGCAGATCGATTCAGAGCGCTGGCTAGGCATAAAAAGCGATGTAATATCATCCGCCAGCAATGCCGATCATTTATCGAACGACTTGCGGCGCGCAGAAGGTGCTTGAAAAGCGGTACTGTGCTACTTCGACTGTGCTTCGTCATTGTTAATTGAGAGAGTTGCGAAAGTAATCGCAAAATTGTGTTACCTAGAAATGAAGGGCACACCTGTAAGAACAAATAGACGCACAGCTATAGGCGTGCGTAAGGTTTTCATTCATGGAGAACGGCGGCGAAGGTTCGTCGCAGCGTCCCTCCCCCTACTATGTCAATGTATGAGGCTGGCTTTGCACCCCCCACTGAGTCGCAGCGCCCCCGTCCCTACTACCCTACTACATAAACATATGGTGTTGACTTTTGCATCCCCCCTAGTGGGCACCCCCTCCCCCTTCTGAACCGCCCCCTCCCCCTGGGCGCATGCCCACGCGTACAGCTAAAACTATATCTGATCGGGCAATAATACCTTACCAGAGTATTGCACAGATTTTGCTAAGACAATGAGATTTCAGTGAGAGAAACCAATGGGCTGTAAGATTACTGTACAAGACTGGGAGCACATTGATGATTTTGCACAATTAAGGCAAAGGAAGGCAGCTAGTAATGCGATTCTCCTTGGTCTTAAGGTCTGAAAAAACAATCCTGTACCGAAACCATTTTTTTATATATTGGGAGAAGTGGTGGGGCAGGTGATTGCATGCTGAAGAGTTACCACTTTGAAAAATTAATACTGGCTTATTTTCATGTTTGTATGAATAACAATGCTCTACATGAAGTATTAAAAATTAATATTATTCCATTGATTATGTTAACTTACACCTAAAACTAGACGTGGAAGTGCTGACCGTGCTTGAATTATTGAATTAACTAGGAAAGCAGAAATTTAAGGGCTCATATTTTTTATTAGACACAATTAGACACAATATTAGTTCTCAATATTATTTGTTAAGTCAGGAAATTTGTAAAATCCAGAGAGAAATTTTTTGGTCCTTGTATATTTATAACTGTAACGCAGTGATGCCCAAAAGTAACCACAGCATTGCACTTGCCATCAACCCATACCTGGTGTGAAAAGTCAGTGAGGGTGGGTGGCACAGGCCTTCACATGCAGGGCCTAAAGTCAAGGGCAGCCTTGGTGGGGGGGAGGTGTATTCCCCTTCCCACTGTTAAAGAAGAGGCTCAGTCCCCCCTAGAGCTCGTCAACTGCAGCAGAACAGCACCCATTCGATAAGTGCTGTAGTTTACTTTTTTGGCAGTGGTACCTTGTGTAAGGTGGCAAAACTGTAGCTCTCCAATTTTATTAAAAATGATTTAGTCGTGATTGTTGAGCTCAGGTGATGCAACCAAAATAGGAAAATTTGTATCATCATATTTCTGCATTCATTTCCTTAAGACACTGCACATGATGGGCCACGGCCTTCCTCAACTGAGCTTCTTGGCTCACCATACTACTGTTTTGTCTGGCATATGCGTGTGAAGCTACATGTTCATAAATTAGTTTGAAGTTTCACCTTAGTCTATTAACATTACCAGTCAATTTTCATTTGGTCAATTCTGCATTAAGAGTCTGGTCTTATACCAAAGCCACACACATTTGACTAATTTTTAGGTAAGTAGGCATGGAAATAGAACATAACATTGTCGTGCCTGAGGTTCTCGACGAAGCGTGTGAATTAACATTATAGCTTCATTATTTTTTTCAAACTTGAATGTGTCTAATCCCTATCATTCCAAGTTATTTTAGGAAAAGCCATTCCAAAGTGGAAATTTTAAATTGTTTGATTGAATGCACACAGTATACAAGTGCCCAAAGAACATTGGGAGAAGTGCAGTAAAACACGTTCATTCAACCTCGAAGAAAACTGCAAGACTGCTCAAATTCAGTGAGCTCCGAATAAATGGGTGTGACTGTTCAAACGACAGAAATCGAAGAAGCCTGGATGATTTAATGAGCTGCAGCAGCACGAAAAGATGCAACCAGGAGACACTGTGGCATTCAATCATTGCATAAACTTTAATAATGCACAGCAACACTAAATGCAAGCAAAACACAGATTACAATACACGTTTCATTCAGAAATGCACCCTATTATCATGACCCATTAAATACACTTTTTATACTCAAATGTAAGTTTGCAAAAAAAAAGAAAGTACTCTACCATAACCAGTTAACAAAAATTTGATTATGAATATTTGTTCTCACAAGTCATTCTAAAGCAGAAAGCACATGAATCGCTGTCGCTGACAGCTTCACACTGTGCAGTCCAAGCACGTTCTCTAGAATAGAGTAAAACCCCTTAAAGGCAGAGTCGTAGCAAATATCTAGTACCCAGTGAAGGCAGAAGCACATAAGGATTGCTTGAATGGGGTTATCTGCCTTCAAAAGCTGGTTTTCTGTAAGCACCATGCATGGCCCCAAGTATTCATCATTATCCAAAATGACACAGGGATCTGCGCTGAACCACGGTGCCTGAAAAAGTTTAATATTGATATGTAACACAGTACAAACATATCTGAATACAAAAATATCTTTCCAATAAACTATTTAGTGAAAGGAAAGATGATGAAATGTTGATCATTGGTTCATCAATTCGCATAACACATCATGAATACTCACACTTTTGTTTTTCATAATCTTATCACACGGTACATGACTATTCTTTTTTCAGCCATAAATTCTTCATTACACACACAAACAGCAGCATGAACTTCTCTAAATACCCTAACATTTACACCTTAATTGCCGTTTCATCATATTGTCTAGCCTAAAATTGTGTATTAGATCTAGGAAATACTACCTATACAGTAGACCAAGGGGTTCTCAAGCATATTCTCAGAAATTCCGTCCAACTCAATTAAATCCCCCTTGGAACCTACCCTCTCCTCCACCTTCAAGCAATCATTCTTCTTTCACTTTCGTAAGCCCGAAATTCAAAAAAAGCAAGAGCCCACAAAAAAATTATTCACTGACATGAACTGCACTTTCTTTCCTTTCCACATTCCACAAGAAATCGATCTTCCAGGTGGAGAATAAATTTCTCGCACATTCATGTTATGTACTGAGGTGTGCTATTGAGAGTAGGGCGTGATTAATGAAGGTTGCGTAGATGAATCACCACTCAGGTTTGCCAAGTGACTAGGCGAACCTGTAGTGGGTGGCTTGATGAGTGTAGAACGAGGAAAAATTGATTAGCTGCTCAGGAAACACAAAGGAAGCGCTTGTGCAGGAACCGTACCAAAGGTTAGGAGTTCTTTTTATAATGTGGGGGGGGGGGAGACGGCATTCATGACAAGTGGGTTGATTCAGAGGGGCAGGTAGGCATGAAGCTTAAGCGGTGTGCTTTGAATATGCTTGCTCTCAGGGTGCAAAGGAGGGAGGGGGCAGGCACCAATTTTTCTCCGGACCTTCAGCTAACTTCCTTCGAGTCTGCAGAATCCCATGGTTCTGTAACCACCACTTTGAGAAATCATCCAGACCCTTTTTATGATAAGTGTGGTCAGTAAAATTTTATGACAGCAGAAGTGATGCATGAATAATTTGCAACATACAAATTTCCCTTTTACGTTTGCAATTAGTATACTTCTTCCTTCTGAATTAAAACATTTTCTGCAAGCCTCAAGTGCTTAGTTGTGCAGCCCTTTAATGACTGCTCCCAGATTATGCAAAACACGTGTACACATGAAATTAAGATAGTAAGGCCTATCCAAGACCTGTACTAGACCAAGCAAAAAATCAGTATGGTGCAATTATTTCAGGGAAAGTGGCTATGACAATATTTGTTATGTTACATCGTTTGGCTCAGTATGCATTGTCTTTTATGGGTATTACGATTCATTAATCTATATAAATCACTTATTTGCTGTGTGCCGTATAACATCATAAGTTGACACTAGAACTGTGTCGCAAGTAGTTAAATTCTGCTAGTTAATACCTTGCACGCAGACCTATCATGTCAGGCTTCAAAGTGTCTCATGTTTTCTTGTTCTAAGGTACCTTAAGTGTTAGTCCAGTAGCAGTACTCCAACAAAACTGGACGGAATAGGAAGAGAGAGAGAGATAAAAAGAAGAGGGAAGAAGAGAGGTTAAACAGAAGAATTATCACCCATATTTCACGCTTCAAAGGTAATCTGCTAGCCTGACCATGCAACCGCGCCATTTAGTGACTAAGGATACAGGAACAGGATTAGACAACTGTCTTTTCACTTGTCCCTTTTCATGTAGGCTATCTCGTTTTTGCCAGCTGGACAACATAGTAGTACACCATCGTGAAGTTACTTACAGTGCAACACCAGAAAAAATACAGGACAGGGAAAGAGCAAGAGAGAAAGAAAAGACGGCGCCGTCTTTTCTTTCTCTTTTGCTCATTCCCTGTCCTGTATTTTTTCTGGTGTTGCGCTGTAAGTTCACGATGGATCCTAACCAATTGGCCCAACTTACCGTCTTACTATAGTAGTACACAGTGGGCTATGCATTGAGTGCAATGACTTTGCTTGAACATTATGAGTATGATGAGTATCAACGCACAAACTTTTACAATTCAAGCTCAGTATATAGCTGCACTTCTCTGATTAGCAGCAAAAATACCTTGACTAGTACCGGTATATGCAAATGTCAATAAGTGAATTGCACCTCAAGAGAGCAGAAAGAAGGAATGTAGCTACGCAGAAGGAGCTCAAGCTGGTTGCCCACTTTCATGAAACGCACATGGCTGTGAGAACTTGCTGTCATGCTTTTTAAATTGTTTTCCATATATGGTAAAGCTTCCTGCTCTAAAGTTGGGCAGCAGGTTCAAATTACAAGCACAATTCAAGAAAAAGTAAGTAATATTTATAGAACTATGCAATGATTAGGGTATATAAAGCAGTATTGTGCAATTATACAACACTTCAGCTTTATTATGATTGCAGAAAGTGCGAAGGTGCCGTTTCACCGTTAAATATTCATGAAAGGGGATAAAAGCTTTGGAACCTGTACAGTCCATACTCCCTATGTGGAAACTGGAACGCTTCTGGGAGCAAAGTCCACCTCAAACAATATTAATGGGACCCCATCACGGCAGGGTATTACAAACTAGAGAACTGTGGAAAGTAATATAGAGCTTTGACAATGACTTACCCTTTGTTTGAGGAATGATGACAACTTTTCCTTAACAGTGCGGGGAAGAGCCGTGAGGAATGCAAGAGTTGTCAGCACTGCAATATAAATATGTGTTACATACACTTTAAATACTTTTTTAGTGCAGGAAAGGCCCCTGTGTTCGTACATTTTTTGTCATCCTCACTGGTTCCTTCGGCCATTCCCAGCAGCTGTGAGGTTATCGGCTCCATCTTTTCCCTCATCATGTTTACTACTGTGTCAACATGCTTCTGTGCTGCATGCACAATAGTTTTTATTGGTGGCTTCCCACCAAGCAATTTGAACTCGTGAAAGATCTGAAATAAGAGATGCAGAAGAGTATTGATACTGCGAGATCCACAAAGCATCTGAAACTTGCCAGCTCAGGTCTTTCAAGTGCCGGATACTGTTGCAGCAATTCATACATTGATGGTCTTGAATCTTTCACCCAATGCCGCCGAGCATGAAATGTGCGGGTCATTGAGTCTGTGAGTTTTTCCAGAGATATTGTTGCACCCTTCATTTCTTGCTGCATTGATTTTATGTGCATTTCCACACTCTGCTCATCTTCAGTGGACTGAATACTTTTCAGATGTTCCTGTAACAAAGCGAAGCATTCTATAACTCTTGAGTTGCAAACGTGTCTTCAAAACACACTTTTACTAGTAACTTCGCAGCTGCCTCCTGACGTGATCATGTAGTGCAGAACTACATGAACGTTTAAAATTTCAAGATCCATCCAGTGAAAGCAGGCTGCAAGCAAGTAAATGAACTACTTTACTCTTATGTAACAAGTGCATTTGCTCCTCAGCTTGCATATACCGTTTTTCCTGCATTAATAATATCATGAAGGCACTCGAAAAACAAGAGGAAGTTTTCTCTTTGACACGAGCACATGCTCAGATGGCTATGCTAAATTCGTTTTGCCCCATGTTACGCCAAGCGACGATGACAGCGTACGATCACAGCCTATGACAGTATGGCACTCTAATAGTGCTACGTGCTTAAAATCTAGAATGTACTGACTTCACTGTAGAGGCGTTTTGCCGATGTAGATGATGATGACGTTGATGGATGACCATGCTTTCCATATTTTTGGCGCATTTCTGCCACCTCCCCATCATTCAAAAACTTCTTCCTTTCAAATTTGCACTTGAATTTCATGCCATGGTGCCATGAATCCTGTATTTTGAAAAACAGTATATCAAGATATGGGCAAATTTGTTAATTTCCAAATTCCAGAAAATAAACATCAGTGTAACAACCATTTCCTAAAGCTAGGTTTATTTTGCTGACTTTTTGTGAAAAATTCCAAAGTATTCCAATATGTTTTTAGTACAGCTAGTTTACAGGCCTAAGCTACAATTAGAAACAGAAGCTGTGCAAAAAATGCAGGCAACAGTTACTTTGACAGACCCACTAACTTACAGAACACAATGCTTCATACATAATATGACTTGCTCATCATGAATTAAAAACGTAATATATTTTCAAAAAAGGTGTAATAGTGACCCCTTCCTTATTTATTTAAAGAATTGTGGTTGTATGTGCCTTAATAAGTGCAGAATAAATATCACAAACATTTGTACATGAGAGTTCCAAGTCTTTTGTCACTACTTTTACATTGTCACAATGGTAAGTTTTCTGTAGATATCTCATAGGTGAAAATAAATATTGGGGATCTGAAACCTACATATCCAAATCCCAGTGAGTCTTTCAAGACAGCATGGTGAAAAACAAGCTGCCGTGCAGCTTCCTCGTAAAGCTTTCCTGGATACCTGTACAGGGAACCAAAAGGAACAAGTGATGGAAATTACGTATTAGGCATGTTTGACACAGTCCCATAGATATAGGTATGCATGCCAGACCTAAGCTTCCATATTGAGATCTTGGTAAGATGCAGTTTAACTCATGGCGATTTTGGTCTAACTTTTCTGTTTCTACATTTCACCACACCCTTGATTGCTTTATATAAAGAGGAAACACTGTTATGTCTACATAACCTTCACTATTTTTGCTGTCACCACTTCTAAGGTGACATTCAGATGCAAGTTCACAAAAAATGCCATCCATGACTTAGATGTGCCTGCTTTTCCCACATTACACATGACTGCTCATGTTACATTCTCAGAGATGCATGCAGACAAGCTTCAGTTGTGCTATTTTCAGATGTTGTGCTGATACATTAGGTTTATCTCTCAAACTCCTCTTAATACTTCTTTCTGTCACATTGTAGATGTACGTCTCATATAATAATGGTCTCGTCATAAAGAATGCATTTTTAATGGATGTAAAATCTCCCATTCCACTATTCTGTGAAAAACTTGAAGCAGGGCCGTTCAGTTTAAATTCTTACATTCTATCTACTGACTCATTGTACTGTTTTGTTTCCTCACTACATATCTTATTTCACTGAAAAGTCATTTTTACTACAACTCCACAGGGATAATCACAATTCTACAACATTTTCTGTTGTCTTATGACATAAATAAATACTCGCTATATATTGACACATTGTTGAACTTGCATGAAATGGTTAGGACGGGAGAGAATGTTTACAAAAAGGCAGGAAGGTTAACTAAGGTTGAGCCCTGTAGGCTCAGCCCAAGTTAACGGGCTGGAAACTTACACACGGGGTCGGAAACTAAAGAGGAGGAGACAATGTCACTGTTGCAGCCGATGTAACAGTTACGCATAACCTAAAAGCACTACTACGCAACATCAATAAGTTTGGCAGGGCATACTGTAACAGAGCATGATGATAAGCAACAACGTACTTACATAGTGTAACGAAAAAGGTCAAAGCTGAGCCACTCAATAATGCGACGACGGAGGGTTGATGTGACTTCTGACCTTTTGGTCACCTTTGAAAGGTTATAGAGGATATCTTTGGGAACTGTGGGAAAAACATAGTTCTTGGGATCCAGTGTAGCTTCTTTTTGCACTGTTGGAACTGCAGGCCTAGAAGTATCAAGATAACCTATGAAAGCAACCTGTCTGCTCAAGAGTAAGTGACGAAAAAATCATCTCAACACCAATGTAACTCTGTTACAAATAACTGTTTCTAATGATAATATTATACCTATGCTAAAGTTATAACTTCTTGTGCTATGCCAACAGATCTGACACCAGATGATTTTCTTTATATGGGGCAGCAATATCACTGAATCATGCACGGACAAAACAAATGAGGTTGCACAGAAATGCAATTTTATGTTGTGTTCGTATTTAGGCCAACTGTTATAAACATAATTAGAATTACTGTCTATTAAAATATTTACCATGAACATGTCATCAGAAGTTGAGTATTATGGTACAGGTGGTATCTACAATAGTAAAGAGCACAAATAGACTGCATAGATCCAGAAGTAGCATGCCTGGGGATAAACCTATGCAGCTTTATTTTCATGATGTCGTTAAACAGCATACTGAGTGGCACTCTGGATGTGTAGCTTTGCAGTTTCATTAACAGACTATCAAAAAGGTTCAGTGATAACGCTGCACCTTCTTGCCCAAGAATCTGCTACATTGAAGTGTGTAGCAAGTGTAAGTGACAAACTAACTATGTGATATATCACACTCAATGTTGGCACTACATATAAACAGACATTACTCTGGACTCAAATTTCACAAAACGTACCTTTAAAAACTGCTATTCTTTTTTTCTGTGTTATCAAGAACTGTTTTATCCCTTCAAAGTGTTCAACATAATTCACCATTCTCAGAAGTTACAGCACACCGTTGCACAGCTGGAATGACCACCAGAAACCCGCACTTACGTTTGTAAACTACCCATCACAGGTGGTTTGTGAATACATACTTAACTTTCGTCATTACCCCACTAAGGCCTGCTCACCTGTGCCCATACATTCTAAATTTGGCCATTAGCGGAAACAAACAGGAACTTGGACGCTTTCTACATCCCATAGAATTACTCTGCGCAATGCAAAAGCATGTTATTGCAGCGGTGCTTCACGATTTGGAGGGCGAAATTGAACTTGTAGTGTGTTTGTATAAATGAGTGCATGTTGTATGTTGTGTGCTGTGCTATTTTATTTTATATTATGAAGCTATTGAAAAATGCGCTGGTGTGGTACTCTCCTAAGTGATGAAAAGAACAATGGTGCTTAAATTGCTCACTCTAGAGCCTATTCAGGCATCTTGGTTGGCTGCCGCTACATTCTTGTAAATATTCATTAAATCAGCCTCTCTCCTTCATCACAACATTCTCATATTATACCTTCACACATTTTGGGATCATATGATTCCTCATGGAATGTATTTCTTACGTTACTTCAGCCGTCACAAGTGGATGTTGTGTTGGCAGTTCTGGGGGCTCCAGCTGCACTGCTCTTATCTTTGAGCTTGGCGTCAAAATTGTGCCTTCTTCCCAGTCCAGAAATTCGCCAAGTTCAGTGTCATACACCTGCACATAAATGCCCAAGAAAGCATGCGTACATTGCCAAACAATCATTGCATGAAATATATGAAGATCAGAGCCCATGGTGAAATTTGGAAGGCAGAAATATTTACTTAAATGAAATTCAGAGGCTTTGTGTGTCGAAATCTAGATAAATATATTGTGGTGTTGAGGTCGATTGATTTCCAGATTGATTAATTCATACCATCTAAGATCCTGTAACATGCAAGTAAATGTAAACGAGGTAACAATAACAGGGAAAAAACAGCTCTTGCTGACTTTTTTCGGGGGGGGGGGGAGGCTAAATATTGACACCTTGGCTCGCATTGTAAATCGCATTAACTAGCTATAAGCACATTACAGCACTTATGAAAACATGTTAAATTGAAATACACCGCGGCTTTTTTACGAGTGCACAAAAAGCAAAAAAAAAATCTTATACGCACTACTGTGTGTTCTGTCTTGAACAGAGTGCAATAAACTGAACTTTCAAATATATATATTGTTAAAAGCTCACCAGCTCTAGCTGCTCTGCGAGAGAAAAATTAAGATTCCATGATATCATTTCAGCTATATGCCAGTAGAACACATGATTAAAAAGAAAGTAAAGAAGAGTTTGCGAGCAACCTGTTTTTGACATGCAATGAAGAATACCTCACCTGGAAAAGAAGATTCTCCGTTGTTTTTGCTTCTGGAAACCTCGTAAGAAACGCGCTCTTTACTGTTTCCAGGTTGTGATCTTCTGGAATATGTAGTGGACGGCAGAATTTGCCAAAAAATGCAACGCATCTGAGCATTTTACAGCGTCTAAAAAGCAAAAAATAAGACAAACTAGCCAGTGAGGTGACCGACGCAAATTTTAACGTTAGTTATAGCGCAAGAACGAAACGACGACACAGCTGAGACAAGAAGGACACGAGCGCTAACTTCCACTGGAGTTTCTTGCGCAGAACACGGAAATATATAGAGGAGACAGTAAACCATGTAACAAAAACCATATGGCACAAATCGCGAAGAAAAGCCTGTAAGGAAACGAACCAGAAAAGTAAAGATACTATAACTACTTGCCCGCACCGAAACCTTCGAGGAACCTTAGTTCCTTCTCGGACAGAGACACGGAGGGCTTGCTAATGCAAGACACCTGTTCGCATGCCATCTGCGCGGCCTCGACATCAGGTGCACTCATCTTGTGCTTAATTGTACAGCGTCGCTGTTTTCTTGAAAAGGGGCACACATGCAATTACACTCTGCGCCCTGCTGAGCAAGAAAACCATCTTTCTCGTTTTTAAAATTGTTAGCGCGTGTTCTGTCAGTCGATCGTTCAGACACCTTCCGGTCGTTCCGACATAACAAGCACCGCATGAAAGGGGGGTCCTCTAGACAACTTCCCGGGAGCATACCGCATATATCTGTTTCTATGTTGAACTCTGCATTCCATTGTTGACTGCGTTGTCAGGGGGTTTGTAGATTTGCTGAGGCCGATTAATAAAAACGGTGCCGAGAACGGGACACGAACTCCAACTCGTTTTCCGATTTTCTTGAGCCTGAGTGATATCTGGTGTTTGTATGGAATCACGGCTAACCTTTCACGCTCTGTATCCGTGTTGCTCGGATTATGTCGCTGCTTCTGCTCTGCCTTATTAGTCCGCAGGATAGTCTCAGCAGCGGAAGCAATAAACGCCTCGGGGAAACCCGAAGCCTCAAGCCGGGAAACTTGAGCTTTGAAGTTCGCAGTGATATTGTGGGCACACGACCTATTTAAGGCATTCTCAAGACAGGTTCGTGCTATGCCTCGCTTAATTAACTTGCTGTGAGCGGAAGAAATAGAAGTAAAGTTTTCTAAACACGTGGTTCATGTTTGCTGAGTCATTGATCAGCTCTCGATTTTCACTAGCCAATCTACCATTTAATATATAGCTGTTACACTGCAATGATTTAACCTTCAGAAGAATTTCATATAACGATTACACCTCAGATACTATTCAACAAATTATATTATTTCTCTCCTCACCCCCCCCCCCTTTTTATACATTGCGCCAAATTAATTTCGTCACAGTCAAAACAAAGTAATCCTGTTCCCCTAGTCTAAAAAACCTAAAGGTATTGACTTGCATTAACCACCGGCCTCTTGGCCAATCCCCCTTAGTGGGTGAAAGACAAAAAGGAAAGGATCAAGCAAGCAAGCAAACACCAACAGATGTGCTGTGAGCTAAAAAAGGGGGTGTTTCAATCGGCTCATGTATAGCAGCTCTACTCAGTGATCTTCTATTGGCAAAAATGGGCAAAAAAAACTGCAGAAAAAGTTAGAAGGCTCGCATGTCGTCAAAGTATTCAGATACGTGGATGATTTCTTGGTTCTTCTAAATTGTAACCCTTCTATGCTCCACTCGATTGCGACTCAAACGATAGGTTGTTTGAAGATTGTTTAGAGCATCTTGTGTTGAGACATGAAATGCCCGAGAATGAGAAAATTACGCTTTTTGGATTTAAGACTGTTTTTTAGCTCACAGCAAGTTAGTTAAGCGAGGCATAGCACAAACCTGTCTTGAGAATGCCTTAAATAAGTCGTGTGCCCACAATATCACTGCGAGCTTCAAAGCTCAAGTTTCCCGGCTTGAGGCTTCGGGTTTCCCCGAGGCGTTTATTGCTTCCGCTGCTGAGACTATCATGCGGACTAATAAGGCAGAGCAGAAGCAGCGACATAATCCGAGCAACACGGATACAGAGCGTGAAAGGTTAGCCGTGATTCCATACAAACACCAGATATCACTCAGGCTCAAGAAAATCGGAAAACGAGTTGGAGTTCGTGTCCCGTTCTCGGCACCGTTTTTATTAATCGGCCTCAGCAAATCTACAAACCCCCTGACAACGCAGTCAACAATGGAATGCAGAGTTCAACATAGAAACAGATATATGCGGTATGCTCCCCGGAAGTTGTCTAGAGGACCCCCCTTTCATGCGGTGCTTGTTATGTCGAAACGACCGGAAGGTGTCTGAACGATCGACTGACAGAACACGCGCTAACAATTTTAAAAACGGGAAAGATGGTTTTCTTGCTCAGCAGGGCGCAGAGTGCAATTGCATGTGTGCCCCTTTTCAAGAAAACAGCGACGCTGTACAATTAAGCACAAGATGAGTGCACCTGATGTCGAGGCCGCGCAGATGGCATGCGAACAGGTGTCTTGCATTAGCAAGCCCTCCGTGTCTCTGTCGAGAAGGAACTAAGGTTCCTCGAAGGTTTCGGTGCGGGCAAGTAGTTATATTATCTTTACTTTTCTGGTTCGTTTCCTTACAGACTTTTCTTTGCTCTTTGTGCCATATGGTTTTTGTTACATGGTTTACTGTCTCCTCTATATATTTCCGTGTTCTGCACAAGAAACTCTGTTGGAAGTTAGCGGTCGTGTCCTTCTTGTCTCTGTGTCGTCTTTTTTTTCTCGCGCTATAACTATCGTCAGACCTTCCGGTCGTTCCGACATAATAAAACCGCATGAAAGGGGGGTCCTATAGACAACTTGCCGGGAGCATGCCCCATACCTGTTTCTATGAACTCTGCGTTCCGTTGATGACTGCGTTTTCAGGGGGTTTGTAGATTTGATGAGGCCGATTAATTTGAACGGTACCGAGAACAGGGCACGAACTCCTACTCGTTTTCCGATTTTCTTGAGCCTGTGTGATGTCTGGTGTTTGTATGGAATCAGGGCTATCCTCTCACGCTCTGTATCCGTGTTGCTCGGTTTCTGTCGCTGCCTCTGCTCTGCCTTATTAGTCCGCAGGATAGTCTCAGCAGCGGAAGCAATAAACGCCTCGGGGAAACCCGAAGCTTTAAGCAAGGAAACTTGAGCTTTGAAGCTCCCGGCTTTTCCCGGCTTAGGGCTTAACTACTGTGAGCAGACATCAACAGTATTCAGGCTAAGAAGGTGTTTTTCAGCTATAGTACAAACAAGAAAGGCATGCCCACGCCCCACTCTCAGGTATTACTATAGCCGTACCACCCATCCCACCCCCTCCGATAGGGGAGAGGTCTGTGAGGGGTAGGCGCCTCGAAAACAGGATCTCGCATCCTATATGTATACATGCGAATTAGCCGAGTCACACAAGCAGACTGAGCTGAAAACTGGACTCTTTTTAAATCTACTACTGTTTGAGCCATTACTTTCTTGTTGCGACCGTGGACACTGCATTTCAAGTGCTTATTCATCACAGGCTGAGATGGTAATAGCCTGTTATCATAAATTGCAAATAATTTGACACTTTACGTCCGTTCGATTCCCCTGCACCGCGTGAACCTAGTTCACGGGGGTGCTGCACTTTGCATTCGTTCAGTGGTGCAGCATCGACGACCTCTGAATCCTGTTCGTTTCAAAAGGTGCAGAAGAGGTGCAGCACTGGTTCACAATTTTCGTGCACCTCCCACGCTGATGGTGCCGGCTTGGTGCAGCCGTGCATGCAACTGAGCAGACGACGCAGCACTTGGGCGTATGCGCCGTATCTGCCTCTACCAACGCTGTGTGTTTTGCCAAGATGTTTGCGCCTCATAAATTCTCCGCATGTGCGTCGCCACCATTCAGTGTTAGCTGAACGGTGTAAATTAAGCCAACAGAAATAAGGTCTGCACCTTGTTGGCACATCGTCATTTGTTTCGGGGGTCGCGCTGTACCTGCACCGCTGAATGCACGCTGCACAATTTCTGAACTTCGCGTGCACAGCCATGAACCAGTTGCAATTGTGGCAGGTGAATCGAATGAACCTTTTATTTCGATACTGCATATTTTGGGTGAGCTTTCCAAGCACCTGAGGAAGGGGAGCAAGCAAGAATTTTGGGGAAGGCTCCAGTTCAACAGTGCCCCTCCCTCCTCGCCACCCCTGCATGACCGCACGCTGGCTACGTTCATTCAAGTGCGCCGTAGCGGAGGGCAAGAAATCAGCCTGGAGTCCTTTGCTGCCATCTTGCGAAGAAAAATGGCAAGTTGAGCAACTATGACACGCGCGTTCCTTTGGCAAAACAGATCACCGTGGCCACGCATATAAGCATATCAAAAACAATCGTAGAAATGTTCTTCCTTTGTTTTTATTTTTTTCGCTGCAGTGCATTATTTACGAGCTCATTGCGGCAATGGCAGCAATAGCAGGAATGCGAAACTGCAACCGAAACAGCCATACGCGATCAGCTGGAAAGCAACGTCGATCAGCTGACTGCCATGAGGGATTCGTTTTTTTCGACAAATAACGGTTTACTGCCGCCTTAATAGCTTCCGTCACTTTGCAAATCTCGGTCAACGATTCAGTCAGTTCAGCGGTCATCGATCACGACAAAGTGAAACTGACATCACGATAACAGCAAACAAACATACCAACTTGCTGCGCGTCGAGAGTTTCACGATTACTATTGTGTGCCTGTGTTTCGTTCACAGTTTGGAGCTGGTACATCTGTGGCTGTGTGTGCTGTCCCTGTTTTTCAGGTGGTGGGACGTCGATCGCTTTACTGCTCGTGCGCCGCAAGTGGAACATATGACACCAACTTCCTTGATGTGGCAATCCGAACTGCAGCCGGAGCAGTAGTATGCGGTCAGCTGACTGTCATGAGTGACGCGCTTGTTCCA